ATATATATATATATATATATATATATATATATATATTCTAGTGCTTTAGTAAAGACTTAATTTGTCGCTTGTTTAAGGGTGTTAGCGGGTCGAGTTGAGTAATACCTCGTTGAAGCTCGACTTGAGAAAATAATATCATACTCAAATTCAAATATATTTTTTTTCCAATTTTCTAACCTGATGCTCATTTAACAATTATGAATTCCACATTATAGCCTAAAATCAAGTTTATAAACTCGTTCATGGACACAAAGTTGAGATCGATTAACCTATTTATTGAATTGTGCAATAAACTCGATTAGCTTACCAAAAAGTCTTTGGCCTACCGGTATTGTAGTCCTTAGCCTCCTAGGAAGTCATAGATTCAAACATCACCAAATGTGAGGAGGGTGTGTGAGTTTATTTATTACATTTTTACCGTATATAAATATTATATACTTCAAAAAAAACTCGATTAACTTGTTTAAAAGCTCAAGTTTGAAAAGATTGTTTTTATAACACAAGTTGAGGCTTGAAAATCAATAACTCTTTTTAAATTTTTAAATTTTAATTAATTGATTTATGAATATATAAACATGAATGGTTCAATAAGTGTGATCTTATATGGTTTGACGAGCTCGGAAATTGTTAAGTTTGAGCTCGAGTTCGAATAGTTGTTTCTTATTCAACTCATATAATAAAATGGTAAATTGCATGAAAAAATAACATACTTTGTCTTGATTCATGTTTTAAATAACGTACCTTTAAAACATTTGTTTTAGTTCCTAAGATCTGAATTATCAAACATTTAAATACATAGGTAACCGGTTTAAGAATTAATCGAATGCAACATCCAACTCAATATTATTTAGATAGTAACATGGATTGTAAATTTATATATTTTATTGTAATTTACATATTATAATTATTTATACGAAATATATAATTTTTACAAATAGTTGAAACTAATTTTAAATTCAAAAAATCCATTTCACTAATCACGTTAACAAATAATATTGAATTTGATACCACATCATTCGTCATATCAGCATTGGTAACCAGTCAATACTTAAACCAGTTACTCAAGCAATTAAATGTTTGAAGTTTTTAGATATCAAAACATTAAACTTTTCAAAACCATAATAAAACATCATTTAATTTATTATTAAAATTTTAAAAACTAATAAAAATTATATTATGGTATTTTATGTAATAATTTATAGAATTTAATAACTAAATTAAAAAAGAAAAAAAAGGGGGGGAAGTGTATACTTTTTTATTTGTAAATATATAAATATAATAATCAATTTTATTGGCAAAAGAAAATAAGATAAGATAAAAAAACATGAAGGGGAAGAAAATGGAGGGCAAATGTTATTCGGTTGTAACGTTCAAATTTGTAAGTCGAAAGAGGGTCCCACGTTAGCCGTAGGTGGTCCTCTAAACAGGATGGGCTAAGGGATGGCCTATTCGACAAAAAATATGAAGGAAAATTAAAAGGTAATTTCTTAAGCTGGCTCGGCCCAAGCCGCCAAGCCACCGACTCTCACCAGTATTGCAAGAGCCTACGCCACCTTAAGTTAGGCGAAACGGCACCGTTTCCGTGGTTTTTTTTTTCTGGATACTGCCTACTTCAATTTTGACTTTGCATGGTCAAAATTGGTTATTTTTCAACCTATTATTAGTCCACAATTACCAAATTGCAGTCTTGTTTTGGTCATAAATCACTTGGGTTGATACTATGTAACAATTACCAATAACAATTTCATGACTTTGGATGTATATATCAGTTATAGTGTGAAGTTGGTTATATGGGTTTTCGATGATCATTCATATCTGTAAGATAATTTCCTGACATGATTTAATTTTTTTAAATTACTTCGTGTAATACACGAGATCGAAACTAGTTTTTTAACTATAGGGTTTTTTTTTCTAGAAAATCAAGATTTTTAAGTCTGTATTAATTTTTTTAAAGATTTTTAAGTCTGTATTAGTTTGCTTCCTTTACGGTTTTTGTTTAATTATTTATTAATACTGATTTATGAGTTAATTGTAAATCTGGATATGGTCACTTCTAATAATAGCATCATTAAAGTGGCGTGTTTGTGAGCGCGTTGTTTAGTCCATTAACCCTTCATGTCCATCTACTTTCATTTTTATAACACATTTGGTCCATCCATCAACTTTCATTTAATTAGCAAATTTGGTCCCTCCCTGTACTTCAATTTTGTAACAGATTTGGTCCCTTACTTTAATTAATATACACAGAAAATTATTATAGTTGAATAGATATAAAATATAAATTAACTAATTAATAAACCACAAGGGTGGTGTCTGATTGGTTTGAGCTTGACTCCAAATATCAAAAGTACCAGGAGGTCTCAGATTCAAATCCAAGAAGAAATAAAAAAAATCTCCTTGTGGCGACGAAGGTTCAAATGCGGCGACTCCGGGCTATCTACAAAACAGGTGGTCGCTCTGAGATTAGTCGGCTCGCATAGCGGGTTGGATATCCAGGTTAATAAAAAAAATTAACTAATTAATACAAATTAAAAATAATTATAGTTGAATGATAAATTGGTAAATATTATGTTGAACATGTAAGGATGCTATAATTCAAGGTTAATAGGCTGAAGATTATTAATGTTATTATGGTGAATAGCAGAAATTTGAGTCCTAAAATTTAACGTTAATACTATCTGTGTATTTCCAGTTGGAAATTGACAAAATAACTGAACAAACCTACAAAATCATTTTATAAGAACCATTTTAATCACTGTTTACCTATTCAATAAAGAAATCATATTTAAAATTTAAATTGAACTATATTTTTGTGTTCTTTTTTATTAGAATATTTAAATGAAAAGTTAAAGAAATTGAAAATTATTAACTATTAAGGGCCGTTTACCAAATGCTTACTTGGGTAAGTGAACATCAAGTCACATTATCTTATCGGATGAATATGGTATGGACTAAGAATTTTACCCGGTAAGAGCGAGACAAGTACCAAGAGTCTTATCCAGTAAGTGAGGGCGACGACTCTTACCATGGTAAATTATTGCATACGATATCGCTTTGTGATAACATTAATATTCTAAATTATAGTATTTTTATATATTTGGCTTATATTTGATAATTTATCATTTAACTATAATCATTTTTAATGTAATTAGTTTAAGTAAAAGAGTTAATATCTAGTAAGTGAGACCAAGGGTTTTTCGTGAGACCCGTAAAACCAATTCTCAACCTTCGGATTAGATCTACAGTCAAACAATCTGAACATTCATAAATGCCACAAGACTTCTCAATAATCACAAAAGTATCACCGTGCAACTTTAGACCATTAGATCATTAGCTTATAAAGTTAATCAATGAACATAAATTGGTCTTACGGGTCTCACGAAAAACCCTTGGTCTCACGTGAACCCAACCATATATATATATATATATATATTATATCTATTTAACCATAATAGTTTTTTGTGTATATTAATTAAAGTGGGGGATCAGATCTATCATAAAATTAAGGGGTTGTTTGTTTTTAATAAAAAGCTCTTAATGTCCTCTTAAGTCTGAATCGGTCAGACATAAGAGGATTCAATGTGTTTGTTTTTTTTCTTCTTCAATTAAGAGCTTAAAAGCTCTTATTAAGTCTGAAAATTTAAGTGGTTGAGAAACCTCTTATTATCTTTTATTTCAAATCGTCGCCTACCTACTCTGATCTCTGTACGCTCGATTTCTCTGGATCAACTCTTCTGTCTTGATCTCTCATCTCTCAACTCTGTCAACTGTCGATCCATATCAACTCTCGATCTCTCATCTTCAAACTTCAAATTTCAGACGCAAAAAACAAACAGTCTGATTGATTCAGATTTCAGACTTCAGCACCATCTCTTAAAAATCAGAAATGAATTCAGACTTCAGACTTCAGCACCTCTTAAAAAACAAACGTCACCTAAAAGTAGAGGGAGTGATCAAATCTGTTGTTAAAATAAAAGTTGATGGAGGGAATAAATGTGTTATAAAAAATGAGAATAGATGGATTGGAAGGGTTAATGGACTAAACTACCCTTACTAGCACCATTTTAATTGACGGTGTTATTAGGAGAGATCATATTCATTATAAAAATGAAACCATAGGAATGCCCTTCATTGGAAATTCTTGTAACAAAACTTATTCGTTAATTTATATAAATCACAAAAATCAGATTTGCATTTAACTTTTAATTTATTTACACATTAAATATATTGACGATAATCAAATAAGACGATAATCATAGAACGATAATCAAAAAAGAACCGCAAAAAAGTTACAAACTCGTGAGAACCGATATAAAAATATTTTTTTACATAATTTCTTTTTTCATGAAAGCTTTCATTCAAGATATTGTTTCACATATGTTTGTATTCACCTTAATAAAAAAATTATACGTAATTTTTTTTTGTGTTCACTTAGTGAAACGAAAAATACATGTAAAAAAGCTTCACATGGTGATACAAATATATCTGAAACTATCATATTATGATATAAATATTGATGAAAAAGATCTTATAAAAAATATTTTAAATTAATTCTCACTGATTTATAATCTTTTTATGGTTGCGATTTGATTCAGATTTATTATATAATCATGTAACAATTATTTTATTATATAGTAAAATAATATCGAACCCACGACATAAATATATTGGAATTTAAACAACCCTATTCTTGTAAAATTTCAAAAGTTATAGGGGCTAATTTGCAAAATTCCAAACTACAAGCAGCCAGAATAGCTAACTTCAATAATAAAAAGTCACGGATCTTTAGCAGTTTGAAGCCGAGCCGAGCCGAGCCACTAAGGTTAAGATGACCGTTGCAAATCATTGAAGTGTTATTACACCGTTTTTTTATCCTCTACAGCGACACCCACACAAACTCCCTGGTCCTGTGTACAACATTTATTCCACTTGGTACAACACTTTCTCTTTCTATAAATGCAACACCCTCTTACCAACCCATCCTTCATTTTGCTTCTATAATGGCTGCCTACGTTTTGTACTTCTTCTTCTACTTCTACTTCATTTTCTTCACTCCCACGTCATCAAACTCCACCGCCACCACCAACCACAAGTGGGTAGGTCCCTCCGGCCACCGTCATATCACCGTCGACATCTATGGGTTCGGTGACTACACGACGGTTCAGGCCGCCGTCGACTCCGTTTCCACAAATAACCAGAAGAATATCCTCATTCATATCACAGCCGGTGTTTACGTGTACGTATATATAATTTCATTGATACTTAAAAAAACTATATGAATTATAATGCAAACAAATTAATGATCAGATTTTAATCTGTTTTTGAGTTATTGAATATGAAAGTTTGCATGCAATATCAATGTGGCTAATTAATGGTGACGTCATATGATGATGCATGGCGGTGGAACAGAGAAAAGGTGGTGGTTCCGGCGACTAAACCGTACATAACTTTTGAAGGGGAAGGGAGGAAGACGACGGTGATAGAATGGCATGACAGAGCAAGTGACCGTGGACCGGACGGGCAGCAGTTGCGTACTTATCAGACAGCTTCAGTCACCGTCTATGCTAACTATTTCTCTGCCCGTAACATTAGCTTTAAGGTACAATTTATCTGTTATATATATATATATATATATATATATATATATACAAGTGGTCGTAGTTAAGCTGATGATGAAATGGTGGTGCAGAATACGGCGCCGGCGCCAATGCCGGGAATGCATGGGTGGCAAGCGGCGGCGTTTCGTATTTCCGGCGATAAAGCATATTTTTCCGGGTGTGGATTCTATGGGGCGCAGGATACTTTATGTGACGACGCAGGTCGTCACTATTTCAAGGAGTGTTATATTGAGGGTTCCATAGACTTCATTTTTGGCAATGGTCGATCCATGTACAAAGTAAGCATGCTTTTTTTCGAATTCCTTTACGTTACTATAACAAAATTGGGTTTATAGGACACTCATAATCTCTAATAAGTGTCCCAATAGACTTTTTATAGGACTTAATTTATTGGACAAAAATATAAAGCGTCCTTCTATCTAAAGATGTTGTAATAAGTTTATATGACGCTTTTAGACGTCTTAACAAGTTTTTGAGGACATTTTTGATACAAAATGTCGCATTAGCAACTTTATAGAACATTTTTAAGAAATTGTTCTATAAACTCAATTTTTTATAGGACACTTGTTTTTATATGACAGTTTTTCAAATAGTGTCCTATAAATTTTAACATTCATTGACTTGCTTTTTTTTCCCCCAAGAATTAACCAAACACACAATATTTGGTATCTCATTGTGTAGTATAGACATCATAGACGTATTGTTCCTCCGTGGTAAGGTAAAAAAAATTAATTTCGTGAAATGTACAACCGTTTTATATGGTGTCACCGTGTCTAAAAATTCTTGGGTCATTTTTAGTGGCATGTATATATGAAAGAGGTAAAAAATGAACATTTTCAAAAGACGAGGGGGTGAATAGAAAATATAGGAGTTGAAAAGGCTGCATGTTTTTTTTGTCTCGTGTGCCTTTGTGGGTTTTTGTTTGGTGTCAGCATGCAAGTTGATCTACACGAGTGGTATCCCACTAGGGTACTCATTTTTTCAAAGGACCAAAAGGTACTTTTACATGAAAGCCCTCTAGATATGTAGCTTTTTCAAGGGTAAAACAGTAATTTCATATATTTCGATTGTCGTAAACATCGTCCCGTTTTTTTTTTTTTTTTTTACCATCTATAACGTGAGTACATGTCTGAGGGTGATTCAGGATTGCGAGCTGCATTCGATAGCAAAACGATTTGGATCGATAGCAGCACAGGATAGAAGAATACCAGACGACAAGAGCGGTTTTGCTTTCGTGGGGTGTAAGGTGACAGGTACCGGGCCATTGTACGTTGGTCGAGCCATGGGTCAGTACTCTCGGATTGTCTACTCGTACACCTATTTCGATGACGTGGTTGCCCATGGAGGTTGGGATGATTGGGACCATACGGGCAATAAAAGCAAGTAGGTGCCCCACGACGATTCAATCTTTTATTTTTCGTTAAACCAAAACCATATATTATATATACATTTTCCTAACTGTTATCTTAAAAAATCCAAGTTATCGTTGTAAAAAAAATTCAAATAATATAGAAGTCAATGTAACACATGAAAAACATATATATCTCCTTCAAAGAAATTGACGAAACTACCCCTGGTTAGCTGGGGTGAACTTACAGTTTTAGCCTCGTTTTTAATGACAGGACAGCGTATTTTGGAGTGTACAGATGCTGGGGGCCAGGGGCAGCAGCAGTCCGAGGAGTATCGTGGGCCCGAGAGTTAGATTACGAATCTGCCCATAAATTTCTCGTGAAGAGCTTTGTCAATGGACGACACTGGATTGCCCCCTCTGATGCTTAGATTTTTTCTTCACACCATTATTTATTTATTCGTTTTATTATTATTATTATTAATTTTTTATTAACTTGAATATTCAATTCATTATACGAGCTGATTAATCTCAAGATGACCACCTGCTTTACAAATAGCCGGAGTCACTGCATTTGAACCTCCGTGGCCACAAAGAGATTTATATTCCTCATTGGATTATCTTCAGACACTTTTGACCTTTGGATCTCAAGCTCAAATAAATCAGGCATTACCCTTATAGTTATTATTTTTTTTATATATATAGGAAATTAATAATCTCCACTTTTATATATTTTTATAGATGTTATTGTATTTATTAAGAGAAATTTGTTACATCATTGTTATATATATATATATATATATATATATTATATATATATATATATATATTGATTTGGTTTACACATTTTTTGTATTTTAAGACACAGTTTGAACACTTACTTTATATATTATGCATTTGTTGTATGAGCAGGTCCGGACTCAGAATTTTTTTCAAATGATGGTATCATTTGATTATAAGAAAAAATTATAAGGAAAAAAATTTCAAACAGTGGCATCGTTTGACTATAAGGAACAAATATATAGAAATTTTTTCAATTGGTGACACTATTTAACTAAGAAAATAACACTAAGGGGCCGTTTACCAAACGCTTACTCGGATAAGTGAACACCAAATCATTTTACCTTACCGGATGAATATGGTAAGGATCAAGAATCTTACCAGTGTAAGAGCGAGACAAGTACCAAGAGTCTTACTCGTTAAATGAGGCGATGACTCTTACCACGGTAAGCGCTTATCGGGTAAACTGTTGCATACGATACCGTTTTGGTGGACTAAAATCTTATCCAGTAAGTAAATGATAGTGTTAAATTTACTGGTAAGCGCTTATCGGTTAAGTGTTTGGTAAACGGCCCCTAACAAGATTCGAACTTGGGTTTGGGATGGAATAAAAGCCTTGCAAACGAACTCTACCAAATAAAACTTGTTCTCATTGTAGTTTTAAAATACATACGGTGATACACAACAGATTAATATGGTTGCACATTTCACGAACCTAAATTATTTTACCCTTCGACGAAGGAATAATACGGTGGCACGTGCCACCGTAACCACCATGGTAGGTTCGTCCATGTGTACGAGTTTTACATGATGATCGATATTGTTTTATCTATTAAATGTTAGTAATTTCTCGTCAAATAGTCAACCTCTTCACGAATTTTACACAATAAAATATGGTGTCATTACAATAAAATTGATTTTATTGGACGTTTGAAGTTAAGAAGCATCCTAAAAAATGTTTTATTCAGTTATAGGATCAAACCAAAAAACATCTGATTAAAAGCGTTACAATAGATTTATATGACGTTTTTAAACGTCTTAACAAGTTTTTTATGACACTTTTAAAATAAAATGTCATATTAACTGTTTTATACGACATTGTTTGAAAAAATGTCTTATAAACACAAACTCTTCTATAAAACACGTCTATAGGACACTTCTCAAAAGTGGTATATAAAATAGCTAATAGAACACTTTATTTTAAAAACTACCTAAGAAATTATTATATGCCTAAACACATTCTATAAACTTATTGTAACGTTTTTAGATATGACATTTTATAGTTTGGTTTTATAAACCTAAGTTCTGTAAAGTATTCTATTATGACGTCTAAACAATTTAAGCTACTTATAAAGTCAATTTTATTGTAGTGTGTGTATGTGTATATTCGTTATCTATGAGTGTCTGAGTCAGCTTTCACGCACTTTGATTAATCTCTGGGGTCTTGAGAATAGCCAAAAAATCGTTAATGACCTTGGAGCGATTTGAACTGTTGACCTAATGTTGTGGACATCTACAAAGATGCATATGGAACGTGAAACTATAGCGTCATTCTTGAGCGTTAGCGATGTCTATAACACCACATCAAAGCTCAAAGAAAACTACAAGTATGCAGATTGTCACACTCGTACGTACTGTCTCTTCTAGGGGCAGGACGACATGCACTAACGACTTGTATTATGAACACGAGCAATTAAAAACAAAAGACATGAAATTATCTTACACAGTAAAACTGAAATTGGAATGAAGTCAATCAACTCAACAAAGGCCAAGTATAGATACAATTAGTTTTCAACATACTAACAAACAAAATAACTGGAAAAACTGAAACGGATGCAATATAATCATGTCTAGCTTTAGCACACAACTAAGACTACGTTTGGTACATCGAACATGACAGAACAAGATGAGATAAAAACTCACTGTTACACGTTTGGCGCGATATGGGACAGGAAAAGAACTTATTGTTCCATGTTTGGCGCACCATGGGACATATACAACAATGGTACAAGATGTGACATTGTGTGATAAACAAGGCCTTTTCTTGTTCCACCAAAATAGGTTGAACAAGATGGGACGATGATGAGACAGAAACTAAAATAGTACTAATCTACCCTCCTTTGATATATAACCTTGATATGGTATTTGTTTTAATATTCACCATCGCTAGTCGCAGCCGCCGCCGCCACTAGTAGCAACCGTCGGCCACCTCTACCTCCTTCTCCACTAAACCTCCTCCACCACCTCCACAACCATCATCAACCACCGACCACCACCGTCTATCACCACCACCATTACCACCGGCAACCACCTCCTCCTTGTTAGTGTGTACGCCCAAAAGCCAATAATTTAATGATTTTGTTTGAACATTGTGTCATGATATTTATTAGGCATTGCCTAATTATTATGTTTATGGATTATTTTTTGTTATATTTAAACGTAATAATAACCTCATAATAATGTATTTTAAAATATCCCTAGTTAAGTATTATTTAGGTTGAGGTTGAATTAATACGGTTCGACTAGTGTATGCAGGGATTTGTATAGAGATATAAAATCCACATTTAGATACAAGATGGGATCTTGTGTTGGATGTGACTTGCTACGGGAACGTTTTATTGGATGTCATATGAATGTCATAGACGTTTCTCATGTGGTCAAAATCTAGAAACTAAGGATCGAACATAACAAGGATGACACATCAAAGGGACATAAATTTGTTCACTGATAATGATCATATCATTTGTTGATTAATTGAATCACCAAACTTTAGCATTTGGATAACGATGATGTATTGATAGATGTGCTATTCGTTTATAATTATGAATATGATTTATAATTATTGCCAACGCGATAAAGTCTCAATGAGTCATGTGCATAAAATGTATATCTGAATAAGGAGAATAAATAATTAAAATAGTTTAACTATTTTGTCTTATTTGAATCTTGTTCCATACGTTTTTATGGAATCAGATTCTTTTTGGGACATGATTGACAAGTAGAGACCTGTCGACATGATCGTTATGTAAAGGAAAAGGCAATATGAGATCCTCAAAAAGGATTGAGCTACTTTTCCTGCCGAATACCTATGAGATATGTACTGTTCATTTACACACATACAAATAGAGAGAGGCCATTGCAAATGTTGTTGGTTTTTCAGATGAAAAAGGATCAGTAAGAATTGTTCATAGGACCCTCTCTTTCTCTATGCCTTGCAAATTGTTCTTCCTTTCCTCCAAGAAGTTGGAGACTGTATCTAGCATTCTAGAAGGAGGATGAACTCCTCACTCAATGTAGGACGTCAAGTGGATTCAGTGCATCTGCGTGGATACCGTGGAGGCAATGGACTGAGTTCGTTGCTAGATTCAAATATGACATCAAAGGGTTGTTGGTCGTACTGGTAAAATTTTGAAACACCCATCCTACCCCGTTTCGTATGGATCATTGGAAGGATACGATTATTCTCTGCTGAGTGTATGGCTCATATATCCCAACACGCCTCTACTACAACAATCTCCTCCACAACCTCCATAACCACCATCAGCCACCGACCACCACCATCCATCGCCACTAACATAGTGAGCTAGCTCCACCAACCACCACTGTCTCTACCACCAACACCATGACCATACACCATCTTAACATCATCTACAACCACCACCATCCACTAATCACCACTTCCTCTACTTCCTCAATCATTGTTTTTGCAACAATCTTTACTATACCTCAACCAATTGATAAAGATATTCCAAATTTAATATAACATACTTTTTCCTTTGTACTAATCGGGTTTTTTTTTTAAATTATTTTCAATTATATCAAAATTTCCATTCAAATTTGGTATTATTTTATAAAATAGAAATTGTGTAAAAACGTTTATAAACTGAATTATTTTATATTTACTTTATTTGTGTAATTTATAACTATTATATGATATATAAAATCATTATATAACTTTTAGGGGCAATTTGTCTAGTTCTATCCTATTTAATCCTAGTTGTACGAAATACTAGACAAACACTTATCATCTTCAATCATGTCTAGCCCTGCCCTTTTGTTTAGTCCCATCCAATCCTATTTAATCCTGCCCTCTTGTCATGTCCAATTATGTTCTGTCTAGCTCCGTCTTGTATAGTCTCGTCATGCCCAGTCCCGTCTTGTTCTGTCTAGCGTCATCCTCTTGTCCTGTCCAATGTTGTATAGTCTAGTCCAATAATTTACGCGTACCAAAGGCCCCTAAAGTTTCTCTTTTCCCTTGCCACCAATGCTCATGCCTTCTCCTAAGATACGTATCACTAGTCAGGTGATAAGCTCGTGTGAGTGCATAGTTTCTGTGTTAAAATATCTAAAGCATAGCATGCAAAAACATCATCATAGGTATCGAATTGTCGTTCATACTGATCACATTAAAAAGATCATTTAGAATATACATCATATCGTTGTAACATTTTCATAAGATAGTTAACCATTTAGTAACATATACATGCACATACATATAATCCGTATTGTGACCCCTTAAGCTCATTTGTGTAGTGTGGGACACACGATACACTTGTATACAGTACAAGAAGCCCTAACTGAATTGGCGTCTTGGCATGTGTACCCATACACATACCTAAAATACTGTTCTTCATACATAACATGTATTCAGTTATTGGTCATATAAACTAACCATACAAAAAAGTCACACACATCTCACGATGCTTTTTCTACAGCAAAAAGACCCCTTTATTAAGAAAAAACCAGAAACTAGCGAGAAGCTAGAGATGCACAGATTGCTTACAGAATTTCAAAGGGAGCTAATCCAGTCATTCCAAAATAAGGATCTATCTGTCTTTGATCTAACTTTAATCCAATAAAAAAGCAAAATACTGGATTAAATTGGTAATCTTCGTATTGTTCTTCATCTTCCGCTTGTAAAGCTTCTCATTCCTTTGATAGCGCATGTCAGTTAGACATTTCATTTAAGAGTGTTCTAATAAGGAAACTTGTGTGATCCTAACGTAATTGAATGTTTAGTTACTTGAAAGGTTTAATTTTACTAATTCAGAGTCATACCAAAAATCAAACCGCAAGTCAATGCTACTACAAACTATGTATACTTGGCCAAACTGGTCCAGACTGGCCCACACCGATTGAGACCGGTTACGGCTCGACAGTCTAGGACTGATTACGGCCCGACTGTCTGGAACTGATTTTTTTCTATCATCTCTGAACACCTAGCAGACACATCCAACACGGACATCAGCAAAGGCAACCATGGGGTTTTCTTTTCGTTATGCTTTTGTTATTCAATATATTGTTCCAATCTTTTTAGAGGCCCTGACATCAAGTAATAAATAAAACAAAATATGAAGTTCATACCATATAATATATTGAAAAAAAATCAAATTAAAACAATAAAATATCTCAAAAATAACAAAATAACATATCATATTTACTCAAAACAAAATCATTCTTCTAAGATTTTCCGAAAATCTGAATTGTGAATCGCAAACATAACCTACTCTCTCTCTCTCTCCTCCCAAACCACTTTCTCTCACTTCTTTAAATTCGATGGCAGGGACGGACCTATAAATTTTTTCAAATGGTGGCACCATTTAACCATAAGAAAAAAATATATGGAATTTTTTTCAAATGGTAACAACATTTGACTAAAAAAATACACTAACAAGATTCGAACTTGGGTCTGGGGTGGAATAAAAGTCCTACAAATCAACTCTACCAAATAAAACTTGTTCTCATTGTAGTTTCAAAATACATATGGTGGCACACAACAAATTAATACGATTGCACCGTCCACGAATCTCAAATTTTTACCCTTCGACAGAGAAATAATACGATGACACGTGCAACCTATACTACATAGCTGGGTCCGTCGCTGTTCGATGGTAACATTAAGAGCAAGGTGATTAGGTTTTCTTTTCAAGCATTTACCTCCCTTCAAGATCCAAGGACTCAATTGGGTTAGTCAATCTTGAAGTCTTCATCCTTCTTTGGGATTTTGCTTGGTTTTTTAGGTTTTCACTAAAAACCTAGCAAATGAGTTCACCTTTGCTAAGAGGCCGTTTACCCAATTGCTTACCCGGTAAACGCTTACCGATAGGAGTCAACACTATGATTTATTTTGATGCGTAACATTTTGGTATATCAAAACATATCGAATGCAACAATTTAGTGGGTAAACGCTTACCTGGGTGAGAGTCGTCATCCTCACTTACCGGGTAAGACTCTCCATCATTCTCATCGCTCTTACTCGGTAAGATTCTTGACTCTTCTATGTTCATCCGATGAGGAAATTATGATTATAAATGTGCACATGTGGTTATATTGGACCCTAATCCTAAATCTTTATGCACGTGGATTAGGTGAGTTGTTGAGACAATTATGTTATATCAATTCCTTTCGATTTCTAGTAAGTAGACATTAAAGATCTATTGGGAATCTTGAAGTGAAACTTGGATGGAGTCCTTGAGGTGAAACTCTTTGGAGTAGACACTAAAGCTATATGGGGGTTTGAGACTAAAACTGTGAACCTGAGGTGTAGTCCCAATAACATCATCTTGTGGCAATACTTTTGTGTTCCTACCACCTTGATGGAAACGGGTCTCCCCCGTCATCGAGAGATGTTTATTGTGTATAATGTCCAAGTTGAGACAACATGTTATGGTTCATGGTATTGTACCGCTATTGCTATTGCGGTTCGGATAACACTTTAAATGAACTATCTTGCCTATTTCATGAGTTACTTTGTGTAATTTTACTAGACGTCAAGCCTAACACTTTCTCTTGATCGTTTAAGTAAATTGAGGATACCCACAAATCTCTTGGTGCCTCATTTCTACGTTCTCAATCAAACCCTTCTGCAGCGACTTCCTCTTCCAAACGACTATCTCGCACACCGTCGACTTTCCAATTTCCTTAATCGCAGCCTCCACCGTCTCATTCACGGTGAACGCAACCAGCTTCAGCTTCCCCACCGTCGGATCACCCACCACATGATACAAAAATATAGATGCCATTTAGTTGGTTTAAGATCGATTGATGGGTTTCAGAGGTTGATAAAGAGGCTTTTCTAACAAGGCCTCAGTTTTTGACCATGCTATGGACCATTCCTAAGACCGTCCGGTTCTTTTTCGGACCAGTCATTGGTCTGGAAACTAAAACCAATTCAGACCCGGTCCTTTGCAGTCGTTGGTCCTTTATACTTGAACCGGACAAGTTTTGTGGTTCAAGAACCCGGTCATTGCCCAACCTGAAGGAGGATTTCACTAAAATGTTCGACACAAAACATATCCATTTGTAGAACTGATGAATTCAGAGCATGGTATAACCTTCCACTACATGAAATACAATTGATTATAGCAAGCACTGTTGCTCACTGAAAAGTATGAAAGATCCCATCTTTTCCTACATGTCCAGAAACAAACATCCCCCAAAAGAACAATGTCTTTTTTGAACACATATGTAAATTTAGAACTCAAGTTTACCTGAAACTCCATAGTAGCCAATTATTATTAAACTCCATTGCCAGCTTGTGTTTCTCCTGTTGATACTGGTGCAGCTTGTGGTTCATTTGCAGCATTTTGGGTGCCAAATTCAAGTGGAGCATCTGCGAGTTGTGGGTTAGGGTTCTGGGTTTGATGGGATGGTGGGATATGTGCATCAGGAGGAGCTGAATATGAGGTTGGTGCACCATAATAGGTTGGTTGAGGGCCTAAGGTTTGTGAAAGAGGGTTAGGAGGGTAAAGAGCCTGAACCGCTGTTGGACCATACATGGCTTGGTGGCCCTCGAACCTTTTCAGCTTTGCAACGTGTTTCTTGCCAGCAACATGGCGGTCAAAGACTTCCTGTGTATCGCACTTCACATTGCACAAGTCGCACATCAATGGGATCACTATTTTGGGCTTTGGTGGGCCATTTGCACCCTGCCTCTGCCTCTTAGCACCGCGGCCACCGCCACGACCACCACCTCTCATTTTGCGTTTCATCCACGGTTTCTTTTCTGGGCCGTCGTTTTCCTCAGTTTCTACTTTGTTATCATCAGTACCTACTTTGGTCTGCTTGTCTGCTTCATGTTCAGAACCGATATCAGTTATAGGGTTTTCGTCTTTTTGTGTTTCGGCAGCGGGCTGGAACGCGCCCTTCATATTATGGAGGTTCTTTTTGTGGCGTTTCCCGCTCTTGTGCTGCTCAAGGATTTCCTTGCTGGTGCAGTCAACTCTACACAACTCACACCATGCAATCCGGATAGGTTGTTGCACATTAGGCTGTGCTGAAGATTCAGCTCCTTCTGAGGGTTTTGCCTCCTCCACAGCAGAAGTTTCAGGATGAGAAGATGACTGGTCATGCCTACCTCCCCTACCCCTTCCACGGCCACGCCCTCTTCCATAAGGTGGACCTGAGCCACCAGAACTTGGTGGCCGGAAACCACGGCCACCACCTCTGAATGAACCTCCACCACGTCTATTGCCACCCCTGTAAGGAGAGTGACCAACCTGCAAAACAGTCGAGATTTTAACAGAGACCAAGATGCAAGTGATCAAGAAGCATGCTTCAAACACATTGAGAAATCCAAAAGGCATCATAATTAGGCATAAGCCAGACTATATCTTTTACTGCTTCATTCTTACAAAGTTAACGAAAATTTTAAATTCATTCTTTCATGGACATTTTCTAGATAAACCTAGGGAATTGACCTTTATAGGGTTGGTTTACTTTTGGACATGCTTCATTTGAGGGGGATGCCGAAGGCAGGGCTAGTGACTGACTTTCCAGATTAATAGTAAGGAAGCTTAATCGAACGGAAGCGGAATTCTTCTTCCCCCAATAACCGAATACTTTTGTCTGTAAATACTTATATGTGTGTGTGTGTGTGTAAAAAAAGGTAAACAGAAGACACATATTACTTGCTTGAGTTGCTTCAACCAATAGAAGTCACCATATCATTGCTAACAAGTCTCATGGGCTTTAGTGACATCAGAGGAAGATAAATTGTTCTTATTCATGTAGAAAAACGAATCTATGGAACACCAATTCATTATGTATCAAGGCATAGAAAAATAAATGTTCAAACATATTAATTTTTTTAATTTAAAAAAGAACTTGTCCTATCCAAGGCAAAAACCCCATATTATTAATTTATGGAATCAACTAGATCAGTTATGATTGCAGAGCAAGTTGATTGAAAGAAAAAGTTTCACAAAACACCCCAGCACATAATGGAGATATAATTATGATTGATGTTAAAATATTCAGAGGTTGTAAACTATGAGCCATCACCACAGAGTAAAACTGAGCCACCAAACCACATGGACATCAGGCAGTCTCCACACATTTTTGTACATTAAGACATGCACTTCAGGTGCTTTCCTGTACCAATTCTACTCTTCCTTTCAAATATTTATCCTACCCTTTTTGTCAACCATTATAGCACTGTTGATCTACACAATGTGGTTTATTGTGAAAAATCTCAAGTCTAGCAACAATTTATGTGATTGTGTCTATGGCCTATATAGAGAGTTAGACAACCTGTGTAAACCTGGTACCAGAAAAACAATACAAGTTTAAGTCAAACTAAGCTACTCAAGCAAAACAGATGCTTATAAGAAATTCCCACCACTCATCCCTTGATATTGTAACTTGGTCACCCAGAAATGAGTCAGCTCCCTTCGCTAAACCATTTTACTAATTTCAGTATCAAGTTCTGTCAGACAAAAAAAAATATAAATGAGACCCATGTCTAATGCTCATATCTTCCATTTGAAGCTGAAAGGTCTTCACTTTCAAAGCAAGTAGACATCTCCCCAAAAAATTACAAAACATCACATAGGTTTTGAGAATCACATATGACCAGCTTGAGCAGTGCTTTCATAGTCAAGGGAACTGAAAACACGTCTCAATATGAATCCTGATAGATTGTCGATCAGTCCGATTCTCAAGCATACCGCTAACCTACTTGATGTTTTGGAACAACAGCTTCCTCTTGTCAAATATCATATGTATTACCTTTATTACTCTTTTGAACAAATTCATTCCTCCACCTTCACTACCTTGTTGCCTTTAGCCAGACAGAAAGAGACTAAAAGTGAAAGAAACAACCGTTGTTCCACATCCTCAAATGCATCATTTCTGTTCAGGGCCATTGAGCAGCATGAACCTTAAAGCTCGCTCTCCACACATAACTCTCTAACAAAAACCTGAACAGTTATGCAAGTCCAAAGAGAGCATAAAAAATTCATTCAGTTTGCTTTTATGATGATCTCTCGAAATCCATAATAGATAACAAGCAAAGATGCTTGTTGGTTGAAATCCTGTTGCCCAGAAACATTATTTTATTTTATTTTTATTAACCTGGATATCCAACCCGCTATGCGAGCCGACTAATCCCAGAGCGACCACCTGCTTTGCAGATAGCCCGGAGTCGCCGCATTTGAACCTCCGTGGCCACAAGGGGATTTTTATTCCTCCTTGGATTTGAACCTGGGACCTCCTGGTACTTTTGACCTTTGGAGCCAAGCTCAAACCAATCAGGCACCACCCTTGTGGTTCAGAAACATTAATTTTACAACCATGGAGGTAGCCATGATAGTAATTCTAATGTTAGCATAATGTAAGGCATCCAAATGTTGGAGTAGATGACATAAAATAGGATAATACTAGAACACTGGCTCTATATATGTGAAATTTGTGATTTACATCCGGATCAAATGATGACTTTCTATCCAAAAGGACATTCAATTTGAACCATAACCAGTCAAAGATAAGAATAGGAGGGACACTGTCCGGATGAATCTAGGAAGAACCAATACAGGTGTTTGGTTGTATCAGGTGCTAAATGGTTATGATAGGTGTCCAATTTAACATCCTTCACATTAACTTTGACATAATGAATCAGAATTAAAAGCCATATTTCTTAATGGTGGTGGTGGTTGTGACGGTGATTGAAGAAATAGTTTTTAATTTGATCATGATGACTGGTATGTCTTTATGATGCATTTAATTTCTTTTAGTTATTGATCTTGACAACTAGCATTTTATGTCCACTGTTCCTTCATTTCAAATAACTTTATTATAGCTACAAGTACTTTGAAGGATGCTTATGAACTAAAATATTTCTGTCCTCTTCCTTCGTTAATTTACTTTTGTCATCTATTTTAACAAAAAGAAAATGCATGCATGGAATAAACATACATATATGCACCCACATTTCGGTATTTTACACTGTCAAACTCAAGCACCTGATACACACACTCACTGATGGACTACCTAGAAGCAAACAGGATAGAAACACTTGCTGATGCTATAAGCATAAACGTTTAGGATCCGATATGATGAGATCATCATTAAATTCCAATAACATGCTAAATAGATTATCAGCTATATGCCACAGGCACCTTTCGCTCAGGACATCTGGCTCACAAATGTTTCGCCTACAAACATCATCGGTTAAGATGGTAATGGGTTCATGGACAAAAAGTAGCACCACCAACACTCCTCAGCTTTGCGAGGGTTGATGAGGGAAGTCTTCTTGCTTAGGTCTATGTGGCTCGAACCCACGATCTTCCACTTATAGAGGAGCAACCTTAACCGTTGATCCAAGACTCATCCCTAAAAGTAGCACCAAAGAAAATTGAATTTTTTTGTGACCTCGCAACTGCCAGGAATACATGAACAAGTATGCTGTTCCCCAAACATGTAAATCCTGAACGGTGGACACTTGATATAGTCATATGCTGTTCCCCAAACATGTAAATCCTGAACGGTGGACACTTGATATAGTCATAACATCAATTTTATGCAAGTCAAATTATGCTGTCCTCTACAAAAAACAGCAGGCTTCCAGACTTGATACCTCGTCATGGAAAATTTTGAACAACATATATGTGCAAACACATACATGCACAAATGATTTTCATCACCCTAAATGAAAGCCTTCAGTAACATGGACCCTTCATGTGATCTATTTCATTTACCACATCAAAAGTAAAAGCTTCAGTTCAACATATATGTTAACACAGCTTCTTCAATAGACTGAGCAACATCACAAACTTTCTCAATTCTACATGTAAATGTACCTACTTGCCATTTGTACTTTAGCCAGATATAGGAAAATCCCTTATCAATGTGGTTAATTGTTATATAAAAATATTAGTAAATTCATTTACAGATTCCAATAAAGACCCACATTGTGATATTGCATTTAAACTACCTTCAGCTACACATCTTTAACTCACTATTCGGGCTAGAGTCAAGCCTTGTGCACATATGTATGTAAGTGCAACAATGTGCTAGCCTACCACTAGCAATACCAGGGCAATATCTCTAAATTTAAGCTCCTAATTCCCATTGCTAAAATGGAAGAACTACTCCACAAACAAATGTTAATGCCCAAGTTAAATCAATCCTGAATCAAGGTGATCAAACAGGTTACAAAACAACGGCAACTTTTACTTTTATATCTCCAATAACTTTGAACATAAGATAATTGCTAAAGTAGGCAAAAATGTACAACCAACATACCGGAGGACGAAAAGGACCCTGACCGTAATGTCCCCCACCGGCCATTGGGGGACCATACCCTCCACCACCTATTGCCCTCTCAGCAGCACCCATAGTGCCAGCAAACTGCGTCAGTTGAGACAAGGCTGCCACAGCCGCGGCCGCAGCAGCATTAAGCCCTGGAGGAACAGGGTAGCCAGGATTTGGTTGCGTCCCACCCAAATTTACCTGTTTACTCGGATCAACATACGGATCCTGCACCTGCACATGCCCTAACCCTGATGATACAGATCCTTCATTACGTTGTTGCTCACTCGGCACCGTATACGCCGTAGCCGCCGACGTCTCCGGGTGCGTATACTGATGTTGTTGTTGTTGTTGTTGTTGTTGATGATACGCATTCGAATAATAGTTTTGGTAATAAGAAGCATCGTATTGCTGCGGCTGTGGCTGCTGTTGTTGTGATTGGTCTTGGTAATTGTAATTGTAATAGTACGATTGATCGTAAACCTGGGACGTATCATACGATTGATGAACCTGAGATGGATCATAGGCGGGTGGTTGTTGTTGCACGGCGGCGGCTGCGGCTGCGGCAGCAGAAGCAGATTCTTCTTGTTTCTTTTGTTGAGCTTGATGTTCCTGAAACTGTTTTTGTAGTTGTTCGAGTTGTTGGCGTTGGGCATCGGGGAGTTTGGATAAATCCATTGATGGAGATTGCTTTGCTGCTGGTGTAGATATAATGGAATTAGGGTTTTGTATCAGTTGCGCTCCTCGATTGTGAGGTAACGAAGAACAATCGGATGATGATAATCAGTTAGGGTTCCATGCCACAACACAAATCACAATCATCAAAACCTTCACAATTTAATAAACCAACCTTTTATAGTGTCGTAATTTTTTTTCACTTAAATTAAATGTAAAATTATTGCAATTATTTATTAAAAAATGTAAATAATTAATGGCATTCTTTTAAATAAATTAATTAAAATGGTCATTTTCGACGTATGTTTTTATTTTTAAGTTATTTTTTTTCTAAAATCATTAAAATGTCACTACCTCCACAAGTGATAGCTGCAGTTTATAGAGGAGTTAAAATGCAAAAAGAAAATTCTAAACCAGCAAGAAGATAACAAATCTGTAAATGTCCCGACACCTCCGCAAGTGACGGAAGTGCAAGTTGTGGCCCTAAATCTATTTTACAGATTTGGTTCGTACACTTGCGATCTAATTCAGAAACTTCCTTTTATTACACTTTGACCCTTCTATGAGTCTACTAGTCGTAAAGCCCCAGGATTTGATGTCGTACACGTTTTCACTTATCAACAGCGATGAAAACAAAACTAAAGCAAGGTGGATGCAAAAAGTGGTAGAGAGAAAGAACGAATGGAAGCAAAGATCGCAAAGAGAAAAAACTGAATTTTCTGGTGTGTTTTAGGGTTGATTTCAACCAGTATTTATACTTAGTGAAACCCTAAAACCCCACGATTTCATCTCCCATTTTTCGGATGATCATGGGGTAGTTGGAGGATAATCCTCCAACAATAATTATCCCAAAAAAACGTGTTTAAATTGGTTTAAAAACCGATTTCAAAATCAATTTTGCATCTCTACGCTGTACCAAAAAGATACTCGGAGCTCGGGACAAGCCTCCTTCTGCTCCGATGCATTGTTCAAAATGCGCCTCCTTGGACCACTATAAAAGACAATTGATTAATAAATGACAGAGATAAATGGTTTAAAAGATAGTTTTTATTGATATAAAGAATGAATTTTCAAATACATTTTTGTAACGAGAAATAATTTGAAAATACAATTTTGTAGCGAAAAGAAAAGGAAAAATGCTATATTTTAATAAATAAAAAAAAATGAAAACTACAAAAATTGTCGTTGTTGTTCACCAAAACTCTAGCTTTTGTCAACAGAGTTGAACCTTATTGTTTGCATTTTGTTATGGATTTTGTCTCGGGCCTTAAATGACGTCAAGACCCTCCGTTAAAGGGAGCCACATGCCCTCCGTGTGAGAGTCATATAGTCATCTTGAATGTCTTATTCCGATTGCTCCCTAAGCAAGTCATTGGCACATCTCATCTCTGCCATGACGACATCCATGAGTTTGCATATTTAAATCTGACTTTTTTCGGAATATTTGTTATATTAAGTGTTCTTTGTTGTCGTTAACGGTGTTTTACTAAGGAATTCTGAATAACCCGAACCTCATTCAGTTTGAATGGATTATTCGACTTTGGATTTCTTTTTTATACTCTAAGTTAGCCCAAATTACCTGACTTTCGGAATCCGTCACTGCATAGTTGGGTTGTTCACAATTTGACAATCATTTGGTGCAACAAGTATGAATGAACAACAGTTGCATACAAAAAAGCAAAAAGGAAGGACACGTCATATATCCCTAAAATGAATCAATGCAAATACTTAGCATTGTGGATTATTGCTTTTCGGTTTGTGATCATGTACGTTTATAAGTCGATAGATGCAGGGCATCAAGATCGAATCGAAGAATGTTGACGAGTATGTCTGATCAAAGGGTTAGAATGTTGGAAGATCGATATAGGGTGAGGGTAAAAATTATCACTAATTTTGTGAAGAAAATGTATAAAAGGGTGTGTTTGCGTAAACCCTACGAAGATGCATAAAAGGATTAAATTCCTAAAGAAATTTGTGTGGTCGATAAAGGGTTTGAATGAGAATAAAACAGGGTCTCTTGAATATAATTATAAAAGAATCACATTCATTATATCATCTGTCTCTCTGTCTCTCTTTGTTGCTTAACCTTGATGATTTTCAATCAGTATTGTCTTCCTTATTTGATTCAGATGAAAGAAAATGCAAATTGATGGTTTATGTGGAAAGAGGTGACAAGTGATAAACACTTGCTTAAAGAACCATTGGAATAAGAGAAGTAAAATGACTATATTAACATCATATCATATAGGATCACTTTAATATAGAGTCTAAAGTAACGGTTGTCAGAGTAAGGGACGAAATTGTAATTTCAGAACACTACGAATAAAATACATGAGAGGCACTAAGGGCAACTTTAACTGAATCTAAAGTAACAGTTGTTATGGTCAGGGACGAAATCGTAATTTTGAAACTCTGATTGAAAAACAAGGATTTCGGTATATCACATTGACGACTTCTGTAATTTACTCTTAACAATTAAACCGTTAAAAATGACCAAATTCCCTCACATACCTTGTACGTGTAGTGCATGCACCTAACAGATAGTCTTAACGGTCCTTAGGGCCAGGGACACAATTTTATAACAAAATACAAACAATAAAGCTACCGGTGTAGCTTCAAAAGTCTAAACCACATGGTTGGTGCATGATTGGTTTGAGCTTAGCTCCAAATATCAAAAGTACCAGGAGGTCTCAGATTCAAATCCAATGAGGAATAAAAATCCCCTTGTGGCCACAGAGATTCAAATGCGGTGACCCGGGCTATCTGCAAAGTAGGTGGTCGCCCTGGGATTAGTCCGCTCACATAGCAAATTGGATATCCAGGTTAATAAATAAAAAAAGTCAATAAGGGACGAAAACCAAAGTTTTGATAAACCAAATGGATATATCAATCACACATTTGAAATATTTGGGACAAAAAGACTAAACAAAAACAATTTAGTCGAGGAATATTAATCATTTTGAGTCATGATTGATGATTTATTATGATTAATTTGGTTAAAAATGCTATAATTAATATAAATATTATATAATTAAATAAAAACAAAAAATATATAAAATTACAGTCACCATTTCATCTATTTTTCCCAAACACTAATTCACTTTGAGGTTCTTGGAGGAGGGACACAACTTCTTCCTCAATAAATGAACAAATGTACTCAACTGAACTCAACTGAACTGCACAGTGGGAGCTCTTTCTTTTGCTATCTCTGCAGAACCACCACTCTTTAGAATTTAACAAAAACATATCTCTAACAAAAGTACAACCAAACAACTAAGTATACCCAATTGCATTTCAGTATACAAATGGTTATAATATCAAAAAGAAAAAAGAAAAAGAAAAACCCTTCTTGTTTGCTCTAAAGTTCAACCTCTTGGAGATCATCATTCGACGAGTGTGTTAACCCAATCTTGTTTGGCGTGAACATAGGTGGAGGAGCCATACCTGAAACCCCTCCATATGGTTTGAATTCACTGTTACCAGAAGCCGATAAATCTTCATTTGCGCTTCCACTCCATGAAAGTGTTCTTCGTGAATGAAGCAGGATGGGTTGATTGGTGAATGATGATGTGGAAGTGGATGCTGATGTAACTCCTTTTGACATATCATCCATGCTAGCAAATCTTGGCATGCCCATTGCTGCTGATGGGCTGGGACTGGGGCTGGGGCTGGTTCGAGAAGAAATTGAGGGTGTTTGGATACTGGGTGTGGTTTGTGGTTGGAAGTTATCAGGTGTAGGATCGGCTGGCTGTTCAGCTGAGGGTGCAGCTGTGGGAACGAAGAATTTTGGGTTGGGACTTGTTTTTGGTTCGATGGTAGGGACCGAAGGTGATTGGAATAAGCTGGTTGGGTTGCCACCACCTTGGTTGAAAGTGTCAACATACCTGTTGAAACCATGTCAAAACTTCAATAACGCCGAGGTTTTTGAAATAGAAATTGGGTTAGCTTGTAGATCAAATCACTTACAGTTCATATAAACCAAAGAAAACCAAACAAACCCGGTTTATACCATCCGAATGTGGGGTCTAGAGGGTAAGATATATACAGACCTGACATCTATCCTAAAGATTAGAGCGGTTTGTTTCCATGCAAAACCCAGCATGTGAAATGTGTGTGAAAGAGAGAAAGTTCGCCTTAGATACAGTTCATATCATAGGGAGAATCATGTCATTTCACTTTGAGATGAAGGGGGCAAGAAATATTATCTTTAGACTGTAAAAAGATTTTCCTAATTAGCTAGTAATGAATTGAAACCTCTATAAACTGAATGCGGAAACCATTTCATTAGAAGCCCAAGATTCGCTGCTGTTTATTGGGGTCGTCTGCAAGTTCCTTATCTAGGTGGACCAAGAGACCACAAAATCCCCTTAACTAACTTGACTTTAATCTACAGTTCTATCACCAGACAACGAGCCCAACATGGAAAAAGGAGATTTGAAAATGAAAATCCCTCGTAAGCCTTGAATTTGACTCCACAACTTCCATGGCAAGTTTTTTACTGTTTTAAGAATTCAAGCTCAAATGAGCAGAAGACGGACGGGACATCTAAGAAAATATATTAGGGCATCCACTTCACTCTCTTTTCCTTCTCTTTCATTTTTCAACACTTGTTTTTGTGCGAATTCCCACTGTAAGTGGCAGCTATACCTAAGGCCATGTTTGGCAACCTTAAGGTACCATATTTTTCAGCGTATTGAAAAAGCCCCGTTTGGTTAGCTATAAGCTAGCTTTTGGAAAGCTACTTGAAGTAGCGTTTCAACAAGCTCCAGGGGCTTTTCTCACTTTCTTTTCAATTATACCCTTGTATATTTTTCTAATTAATATTTCAACATAACCTTTTAGATCATTTTATATTGTCATCTAGCTTATCTGCTATTTTACCAAACATGACTACTTTATCAGCCAGCTTATAAGCTAATTTGCTTACATACCTTCGGCAGCCAAACGGTCTTCCAACATCCCTCTCCCACTCTTTATCTACATCTATTAGTACATATAAATGCCCGTGTATGCACAAAGGTTCCAAGCTACCTCATTTAGGTACAGATCTTCTCTTATAACCAGTGCACTCAAAGCTCTAAGTTGGAGATGACAAACCATCTCAAGTGACATTGCTTATGTTCTCTCAACTGGTGTAACTTTCTAAATAATGTCATTTCTGGTCCTATCTCCAGATAGACCAAAAAATGAGATTAAAAAAGAGGTTGGCTTTGAAGGGCAGTGATGGTGACATGTCTTTAAGGAGGTTTTTCATATTAATTTTATTTTTCTAAAAGAGTACAAATAACCTTTCAAATTAAGCAGCGGGTGCAGAAAGGGAAATTGGTGGTTGGGTCAAACCAGTGTGGCAACACCAATACTGGAGAAGATGAATGTCGTCATCATCTACTCCGGCAAGGGTGGTTTAGCGGTGTGGCTAGGGTTCAAAAAGCCGAGCCATGGAGCGATATGGCGCAAGACACATCTCCACTGCTCCAATTTCACCAACCATTTTTGGTGCTCGGAAGCTACCTCTCACTGCCCCAGAAGGTATTTGAGACTCCAATTGGTCGGTTTTAACCAAGAAATGTTTTCCCATAAGATAGTGCTTCCATTTCTTGACTGCCAAAACAATTGCCATCAGTTCTCGCTCATAAACGGACTTAAATTTGCTGCTAATTGGCAGGGCCTGATTAAAATAAGCTATGGGCCTCTGTTGTTGCATCAATACCCCCCCCCCCCCAAATCCCTGTTCTGGAAGCATCTGTCTCCACTGTAAATTCCTTTTCGAAATCCGGCAGGGCTAAAACCGAGGAAGTTGTATCATAGCTGCCTTCAATTGTTGGCAAGCCTGTTCGGCCTCAGGAGTCCACTCGAAACTGTTCTTTTAAGCAACTTCGTTAGAGGTAACGCCATCCCACCATACCCTTTAACAAAGTGATGTTAATAACCTATTAACCCCAAAAAAACCACGAAGCTCCTTAATAGTTTTTGGCGACGGTCACTCCATTGCTTGAACCTTTCCAAACTCCGCTTCGACTCCTTTCTCCGATATCACGTGCCCCAAATACTCTCCAGATGTTGCCCGAATACGCACTTCTTACTGTTTGCTACTAATCGATTGTCACGAAGTATTTTGAGAGCCAACGATAAGTGATGCCTATGTTCCTCCTCGTTACAACTGTAAATGAGGATGTCGTCAATAAAAATAAGGATAAACTTACAAAGGTGAGTTCGAAATAACTTGTTCATGAGAGCTTGAAATGTGGCAGGGGCATTGGTAAGGCCGAAAGGCATTACCAAAAACTCAATGTCCTTCAAGAGTTCAAAAGCCGTCTTTTCGATATTGCTATCCTTCATTCACATCTAATGATAACCCGATTTGAGGTCCAATTTTGAGAAAATTTTCGCCCCATGCAATTCATCGATCAACTCTTCTACAAAGGGAATCGAAACATGTTGGGTACCGTGGCTTGGTTGAGCACGCGGTAGTCCACACAAAACCGTCAACTACCGTCTTTCTTCTCGACCAACAACACGAGGCTCGCATAAGAACTTTCACTAGGACGAATGACTTGGGCAGATAGCATTTCTCCTAATGATTTCTCTATTTCATTTTTTTGCTCATGTGAGTACTGATACGGTCGAACACAGATGGGTCCTCGATTTTGGGAGCAAATGTGGTGTGATCTTGTTGTCTCGTAGGTAGTAAGTGGATGCGAGGTTCAAACACGTCTTGGTAATCTCCAAGCACCTTCTGCAATATCGGACTAGTCTGTGGTTCTTTCCCAACATCCTCCTCTTGCAACAGATACAGATCCAACAAACTGCTTCCTTAGTGGATTTCCAATTTTTTGTCAACGATTTAAAAGAGCGGATTTTTGAAGACCATGATCCCCTCGTATGATTATCTTTGCTCCATCAATCTTAAATTTCATTTGTAACGCCTTCCAATTTTCTTTCATATCGCCCAACGTTTCCAACCACTGGTATTCTGAGGATCACGTTAGTACTTCCCAACTCCAATGGTAAAAATTCAGTGTTAATCCGCATTTGTGGGGGTAACAGCTCGACTCCTCTGCACACACCCCTCCTATTTACCACTTGGCCAGTGTCCAGTGTTTCGTCCACCTTTAGTAATTAGTTGAGTCGTCAAACCAGATCCTTGGATATAAAATTATGGGATGCGCCACAATCAATGAGGATAGTCACCGCCTTTCCGCAGATGTGTCCCCGGATTTTCATGGTCCGTGGAGATGACAGCCCCACCACTGAGATCAGGGATAGCTCGATGGTTGGATCTGGTACCGTTTGCCACCCGTCGATTTCCTTTTGATTGAGTTCCCCTTCTTGTTCATCTAACTATGTGGGATCATCCTGTAGTAGGAGCAATTATAATTCCTTTTTTTATATTTGTGTCCTACCCGATATTTTCGTCACACCGGAAACAAAGGCCCTTCGCTCATTTATCTAAGAGTTCTTCCTCGGTTAGCCTTCTAGTCATCCCTGTTTCAGGTCTGATGGTTGTTGCTATAAGGTTGTCCGTCCTTTTTCCCAACATCGATGGAACTCTCTTGACATTAACACCATGGGTCGGAGTCGTTCTAAATGCCGAAGTCGGGAAATTAGGGGTGGGTTTATAAGATCCACCAGTGACTCGATTATCCCCAAGTAGTCGTGAATTCATGTCCTCAACTAATTGGGTTGTCTCCAGAATTTGGGCCAGACGTTGTGGCCTTATCTAACCTCGGGCTAAATGATCGGTTTGAGACCATTCATGAAATTCCTTTCCAACACCTTCTTCGGAAGGTCTGATAAAGACGACGCTAAAAGTTCAAAGGAATGACGAAACTCTCGAAGAGTACCTGTTTGCCGGAGGGCTAGAAGTTGCTCAAGGGCGGAACCTCCATCGGTCAGTCGAAAACGATTGATGAGTTGTAGTTTCAATTCCTCGCAAATTAGAACTGTACGCCTCCTATCCGCCCAATGAAACCAAGCGAGTGCTTCTCCTTCCATACGGATTCCAGCGGTCGCGACCTTCTCTTTCTCTTCAAAGCGTTGAAGAGCGAAGTAATTTTCAGCCCACAATATCCACCCATCAAGATTGATTCTGCTAAACAACGGTAATTCCACTCGATGTAATCTCCAATCGGCCAGAGAGGATCCTGGATGTGGAGGTTTACCGGTTCCTCCCGTATCTAAGTGGACGAAGAACGGAGAATTAACACCCCTTTGGGGTGCAATTCTGGACCTCCTCCTGAACAAAAATCCTGAAACGACCCTCCGGTTTGAGTGGAATTGTCAGATCTCGCTTGGAATAGCGAATCAGTTTGCCTATAATTGCTTGAATTTCTTGTCTCGCTTGTTGTTCCCCGCCTCGCGATTGCAAAGCACTTTCACATCTGCTCTTATTTCTTGAACGGCTTCTTTCAGAACTTCTATGCGCTCTCCTTGAGTCTTTGGTGCCATGGTCGATCAAGATCGAAGGCTCTGATACCAACTGATATGAACTAGTCGGCTGTTTGTATTCCAATTGCTCAATTGAGGAACGATTACAAGAAGGAAGATAATTTTGGTGTTTGAGAGCCGGACCTCTCCAAATCAAAAAGATTTCAAAAAGAAAACCAATGCCCTACTACGATGCTATCCAATCCTAATAGAATGTTCCTAGCAAACTTGGACAAATAAAATTACCAAAATTATAGAATACTGAAATTACTCCTGGACTTTCCTTATTTACAAATGGCTCCTTTTCTAGAATATACTTTTGAAATCAGTGGCTTATCAGGATGATGATAAGGTCTAGATAGCCATTAAATTACTTGTCAAATGTGAATGATCTTAAACCAAGGAGATATATAGATATATATATATATATATACAATATCTACAGCTTACCCTACCTACTACAAAAAGCCTATAGGACACTGTAGTTGGTTCTTCAGACAAGTGTGGTCACAGGTTCCTTAGACATCATTGAAGAGATGTGAAGGTCATTTATACTTTAATCCTTGCAGAGGGAATGCAATGCTTATCCAACTAGTAAAAACTTCAGTCAAATCAACTGCATTTCAACATACAATATTATGAACAGAGCAGTAATATAAGAAAGAGATAAACGTATTCAGTCACCTTGCTCGAACCCCCATCCTTCCACGTGCAGAAAATTGGTTTGAGGTGGCTGGAATTGGTGGAATTCCTGAGCTAAGACTTGGGGGAGTTGGGCTTGCAAAGTCCGAGCTCATGCTGCTGACAGATTCAGTTCTTAAAGCACTCTTTAAATTATAATCTGATGTTCCATTCTGGAAAGTTGCCATTGTTGGTGGTGGAGGAAGGGCTGCTTCCTCTGCTGGTGGATCAGTGCCTTCCTCTACCCATCTCTTAAGTTTATCATCGTAATAGAATTTATTAGTCTCACCCAATTTCGCCTACAAACATAAATGTGAATTTGAAAAAGACCGAAGGCAAGACAAAACAAAAAACCCAACTTACAAGAGCTTTAAGAATGATGTAAGAGTACAGGAAGGAAAAGACAAAACATGTGTCTGCATCAATGCGCATACCACCTTATATGACAGATTTATTAATTAATGGTACCTGTTTGTCCTGGCGAGTCTTGAGAACCAAACCCACAGTCTTTTGGAAAAGATGGGAGCCAAAGCCAAAGCGACCAAATCGTGAAGTATTCCCAGAGGCTTTACTTCGTGAATCCGCGGAGTTTTCTTTCGACGTGTCATCCTGGTCCTACATCAAGTTTTCCACAATCAATCTCATATAATGAGAGCAGTTATTTGCCTTTCATTAGAATATATTTTTCCTGCATAGCACGAATAAAGAAAAAGAATTTGGCACACAATCCTACCAATTTATTGGTGAAAAGAAAACGGAAAATGGGATTAAACGAAATGACATGAATCTGTATCACAACCTGCCTGGGTGATCGACCAAAATCAGGTTCTGAAGCACTCCTGTTATGCATGATCCCTCTGTTGTTTCCCTCAGCCTGATTGATGGGCTCCATAGATGCAGATGGCATCAATGATGACATTGCCATTGTTGATTGACTAGTAGATACTCTAGGGCCCTTGGGTTGGTGATGGTGGTCATATTGGGCACTGCCACCAGATGTTGATGGAATAGGTGGTGGTAGGCCCCCAACAACACGATGTGCGGTGCTATCAAAAAGATTGAGCAATTTACCAACTAATTTACCAGGAGCTAAGTTTGTGAACCCACCCTGGGAAAATGGAAAAAGGAGGATTAGAACGAAGATATTTTACTTCTAGAGATAGTTATCAATAACAATAAAAAAGTGGCGAACTAGAGTACAAACTCGCACCTGTTGGTGAGTTTTTATTCTATCCTCCAAGGAGATAACCAATTGTCTCCATGTTTCTACCTCAGGGGCTCGTCCAGTTTTTAATGATTTTGATACCACTTGACAGTACCTGAATTAATACGACATCTTCTTCAGGGGAAAACACAAAAAGAAGTAAAAAAGATCATGAACTAAGAAAACATTATGATTTCCTATACAGCTATACGTACTTTAAAGAGTCTGACACTCTTCCAACTTCAGCCAACATGTGAGCGTATATAAGCTTATACGGTTGAAACGGTAGCAAGGTGAACTGAGAATTTCCAAGCAGCTTTGAATATTCATACACCTCTGTCCTCTGCTTGCATTCACAATTACGAGGTATAGTTATTTCAACAAACCATATAGGGTCTGGTCGAAATTTCCATAAAAAAATTTGTGTTTGAAATTTTTAGAAAAAGCCAACTATAAAATTATGTGTAGAACCTACTTGGAAAACTTTGTAACTTAGGGGCCGTTTACCGAACACTTACGGGGTAAGCGCTTACAGGCAATAGTCCACCCTCCCTTACCTTATCGTGTAACATTCCCGGCAATCAAAACGGATTGATGGTAAGCGTTTATCCAGTAAGTGTTTATCGGGTAAGCTCTTTTCTGAAAAATTCTCAATACATACTCTTTTGGACATTAGTAATCATTACTTGATATTTGGGACTTCAACTCCGTTGCTATTCTGTTCTTATTAGAAAGCATTTTAGTTACTAATTATTTGTCAAACATTTTTATTAAACTGTGTGCCGAGTCAAACATTGCATTTTTTGGGACGAAGGGAGTAGTATAACAATAAATGTATCCTAGCTAACGGACACCATCAAAAATGATCAGCTGGTGTCTAGCATCCATGCTTCTTGAAGCAAAGCTTAATACATTGATCTTGAAATGGTGTACGTCCCAATCTGATCATCAACCTTGTTAGCGTTCTTTATTAAACAGCTAATTGTATTACTTTTCAGAAACAGATGCCATATTTAAAGAAGATAACATGCACGTAATGTACTAGTTAACGAGCCAAGAATATAACAGAATCATATAAAAAAGCATGGACATCAAGAATGGGGATAACTCTGGAAAAGAACTAGCAACAGGAGATGAGGTGACACCTGAATAGCCTCTGGACAGGCATATGTTCGGGGATGATTCCAGTGATCTGCACCAATGAGACACAGTCTAGCACTGTCTGAATATGGTTCGAAGTTTGCTTCTGCGACTAAGTAGCAAATGTGTGCCGCAATAATCTGGATTAATTTTTAAAGAACCACAGACCCAAATCCAAAGATCAAAATCATGGGAATTAATACATTCACATATGGTCAGCTTCAGTAGATTATAATGTGAGGTACTTACATTACTCCTTTCCTTCCACAAACAATCTCCAAGATGAATAAGCACCAATTCATCATCTTTGGTTCTGTTGGCAGTGACCACAGCCAAATTATCCTCCCAGTCATCAAGCATACCATTAACACTAAGTTGAGCCTATTGCAAAGACACAAGGGATATGTAAAGTGAAACACATGTGCGTAAAAGATGTAATATTCAATATGGAAGAATGGGTATGGTCCAATGACAAAGCAACATTGCTACATGATTAACCGAACTAATCGCATTACCTGTGCGGGCTTTTCGGACATATTTACAGCACCATGTATGCTACCATCTGTTGTAGCATCGGGCGCAAATACATCTGCGGGTTGACCGGCAATAAGCAGGCATAATGTCCGTAAAGGTGATCCCGGTACTAACTGGTGAAGAGCCATTTTCTTAACTGTATCCACATAAAACTGCAATACAAGAAAACCAACCCCATTTCACAAAGAAAGAAACCAAATAAATTCAATAACAAAATCACACTATATAGATAGTTTATCTCTTGAGAAAAAATCAATCAAGCAGAAAGAACAGTGGAAAGAGGAAGCCCAGAGATGAGAGAGAGAGAGAGAGAGAGAGATACCTGATCACCAAGTTGTGCTGCAAGAACAAGTGCCGGCCCCCACAATTGACCTTCTTGTGCACGAAGAAGGGCCTCTTTCTTTCTACCAGAAACAAGCAGAGTTTGGACTTCAGCAGCGGTTTCCTAAATCATAATACATACATAGGCATCGGAAGAAAAAGCAATTCCGTTATGCGCAGAACAATTAGTGCATCTTATGATGTGATGCATTTCTAATAGGGGAACAAATAAAGGACGACAAATACCCGGATCTGTCCTTCTGAAGGCACTTGTTGCAAACAGTGCGCAAAAGCACCATAATTGTTGTATTCTGCACTGCCCTTCACGGATGCAAACAGTCTAGCAACAGCTAATTCTGGAGCATCATTTTCCTAGTCAAAGCATCAAAATACCAATTTTATTTTTACTTTGGTAGCAGAAGACTTGTCTATTCATTTATGTCATCTAACAAATGCAAATCTAACCTGAGTTGAGCTGATCAGTATGAATAGCAAAAACACAAAAGTTAACTATGACATTAAGGGTGCGTTTGGTACGTGGAACAGGATAGGACAGGACACACTTGTCCCATGTTTGGTGTGTTTTTAAGTGGAACTAAGTGGAACCCGTGTGGGACAAGCTTGTCCACCCTCAACCCCTGGAACTAAGTGGAACAAGGTAGCATTTTACTAATATACCCATCTGAACCCTCCCTCCTATCGCCTTCTCCTATCGCCTACACAGAGCCGGTCGCTCCATCTCGCCGGCTGTACAAACATCTCGCCGCCCGACGAAGTCGCTTCATCTCGCCGGTCTTCCCCGTCGCTCCATCTCGCCGGTCTTCCCCGTCGCTCCATCTCGCYGGCTGTACCTTCATCTCCTTCCCGACGAAGTCSCTTCATCTCGCCGGTCTTCCCCGTCGCTCCATCTCGCCGGCATCTCCTTCATCTCGACGGCTGTACCTTCATCTCCTTCTCGACGATTTGCTGTGTATGATTTGCCCTAACTCGACTGTTTGATTCGATTTGTTGTTCGATTTTATGTGTATGATTTGCTGTAATGCTTGAATCGATTTAGGGTTTTGATTCGATTTAGGGTTGTAATGCTTGATTCGATTTAGGGTTTTGATTCGATTTAGGGTTTTGATTCGATTTAGGGTTGTAATGCTTGAATCGATTTAGGGTTTGAATCGATTTATGGATCTGTTTGCTGTTTCTATCGATTAGGGTTTGAATCGATTTATGGATCTGTTTGTTGTTTCTATCGATTAGGGTTTGAATCGATTTATGGATCTGGTTGTAATGCTTGGTAATCTGCATCATTAGCAATTCAAATTAGGGTTTTGATCGAAATTTGTCACTGTAAAATTGATTGAAGTTGAAGTTTTTAGGGTTTAGAATCTGATGGTAGATTAATTTGATCATGGTGGTTAGAATTCTAGGATTGACTCAATAGGGGTAAATTGGTCATTTTAACCAGTTCTGTCCAGTCCTATCATGTCTTACCAAACGCTGAACAGCTGTCCTGTCCTGTCCTGTCCTGTTCTGTCCCGTCCTGTCCTGTCTGCGTACCAAACGCACCCTAAGGGGTTGTTTACCAAATGCTTACCCGGGTGAGCACTTACCAAGTCACACTACCTCACTGGATGGATATGGTAAGGACGAAAAATCTTACCCGGTAAGAGCGAGACAAGGACCAAGAGTCTACCCGATAAGTGAGAGCAACGACTCTTACCACGGTAAGCGCTTACCGGATAAACTCTTGCGTACGATGTCGTTTTGGTGGACCAAAATCTTATCCTGCAAGTAAATAATAGTGTTTAAATTTTATCGATAAGCACTTACCGGGTAAGTGTTTGATAAACGGCCCCTAAGTCTGAGTATTAGTGTAACATCAAAAACCCAATAATTCATATTGGCCTCTATACATCCAAATAATGAAATACTCAATATTCTAATTCTCAGACATCCTTGAGCACCATGCTCTTTAACTGGCATCCATGAGATATCCTAGCCAAATATAAAAAACTACAATGAAGTACAACTTCTGGCTTATAGGAATTGATCATATGTTTCTGCCAAGAGGAAGAAAACACATTTACGTCACACATGGTGGCTCTCTTGGCTAGGCATGTCCATGCAACTTTTAACTATAACCTACTGGAATCATCAATGACATGTGGAGTTCTGATTAACCAATTTTGATGATCGGTGAAATAGATCAAGTCTAGATACTTTGAAGAATCAAGTAAAAAAATTTCTAAGCTGTAACAGTTGAGCCCCCAGTCTCCATGCTACACAACTTTTCTCCAAAAGGGTCCCCTTCTTACTCGCATAGTTTGCTGGTAGTCATAGTGGCCACCTTAGAGAAAAGAAACCAGTTTGAAAATTCCCACTACAAATTAGAACTACAATGTCTGAAGCAATACAAAGGCAGGCTTAACATCACAAAATTGGTGATGGTTAAAAGAGCTTTAAGCTCAGAGACCTGAACTACAAACTGACAAGCTAAAGGCTTAAATCAACAAAAGAACCCACATTTGATCTTCTAGCACCCCCTTTGCAAATGTTAAATAAAACTAACAATAATGTACTTCACATCAACAAATTAGAAGTTTAGAATGATGTTACAACTTATAAAATTATCAAAGTACGATAAAATAAACCTAGTAATAATAATTCAAAAGCCTAGACTTGTGCTTACGTATAGCATATATGCTAATAGTCTTGCCCGGGGCATTTCCATCTGGATCCCTATTAGTGATAGATTAGCACATTTGTGGCCAGACCTTGAAAAGGTATTTCAGACAATCAAATGTATGACATTCAATTTAATCCTACAATGGAATCATCAGCTACTTATTTCTTACTTTTTTGTTTTAATTAAAATCAGAAATTTATTTACTTTGGCTTTCAACTTGTGGTATACTAGTATATATTTACGATTAGACACGGGTCACAGGCTCCCGAGTGTCACAGAAGCCGGCTCTAGAAAATTACTACAAGGAAAAAAACGTATGAACAACTCTATATAAGAGAAAATAACCACTGGATTAGATGGATTCAATGAGTCATGGATCAGAACACATTCCAAATACTACGACAAATTTTTATGAATGACATTTCAGTCGGCCCTAAGCAACAGCATTCAGCATACCACAAAATCTGCTACAGTGCAAATTATGATTGCGGATAGACACATAGAGAAAACTCCAAAGATAACTGGTTTTTTTCTTTTACCTTTAATGTAGTGTCTGAGCCAAAAGGAGAGCGCAATTTTCCATAGTGCTGCAAAGCTATTTTCAGCAAGGAAAGGAGCAATCTTAGAACTTCCCCTTGCCTATAATCTACATCAGAAGTTCCAGAGTGTGTGATTCTCTCATCAATCCATCGGTTCAACTCTTTACCACCAACATTTCCACCGGCCAGTGGACCGGGAAAGGATTGCTGGCAGAGAGAATGGAAATAGTCATGCACACTTGCCCCACTGCTTGGCACATCAACTCCTCCAGTAACAGCTTCTGCTAAGTTAAGAACAGAAATTGACCCAGGTTTTGAATCCTTCAAGAAGACAAGCAAACACTAGATGGTGAATAATAGCAAAAAGAATTGAAAGAGAAATATAGGTGGATCAAAACCAAAATACTAATATATGACTAACAAGGATGATAAATATACAGACAAACCTGGCTTCCATAGGATGCATTTACAAAGGCAGTACTATCTTTCATCACAATCAGCTTCCCACCAAAGCCAAAAGTAACCAATGCATGAGGAGGACGGCCAGCAGATGACCTTCCTGCAGTAGATGCATAAGATATTTGATGGCCACTCTGAACTGGTTGCTGGGAATAACTTAATTGGTTCTGATTGCCATAAGCCTTTGAGACATTCATCATCTCATTTTGCTCCAATGGCTGACTGAAGCTTCCCCTATGAACAAACGATTGAGACCCAGAAACAGGGAATTCATTATTAACCTGGCTAGCTTTGTTAAAAGACGAAGCAGTTGTCCCGTAGCTGTAAGATTGCTGCTGATTAACATGGTTATCCACCTGAAAATTAGTGCCATAGTGATTTGATACTTGTTGGTTGCCTTTAAAGTCTGACAGAGGTGCACTATTGGCAGCAGTATTAGGTTGCCACATAGTTGAACTCTGTTGTTCGGCATTACTGAAAGATCCATTCCAGTTATAATCTTGTCCTTGGCTGCTAAAAGCTTCAGATCCAGACTGTTCCAACTCACCCTGCCCACCAAATGTTTTCTGATCATTACCATAGTACGTATTAGTTGCACCAAACCCATTTTGGTTGACCTGGTCCTGAGCTTGAACAGTGGATTGAGAATTGTATTCATCCAGAGAGCGCCATTCCTGGAGGTTCATGTCATAATACCAACCTGGGTATTGGGGATCAAAAGCCATATGTGAGGGATACACAGTATTACCTTGTGAAGCCTGATTCCACTGTGATAAACTCTCATTAGTGTGACTAGACTGAGAAACCGAATTCCAACTTGTAATACTTTCGGTCGTGCCTGTCTCTGCTACAGCTCCCGCAACAGATTGGGCACTTTGCTGCAAGTAAGAAACCTCTGATTTCTCATTGGAGGCAGTCCAGTCAGAAGCAGAATTTGAGTTATATGCCCCTTGTGCAGATGCTGTTGCATTATAACTTTCATCTACTTGATACCATTGCCTAGTATTTGCATCATACCTCCATCCGGGATAAACATTCTCCCAGTACTGACTACTATTCAGATCTTGACCATCTATACCTTGTTCCACCATGGTGGCATTGGCATGATCGCCTTGAAGTTGCTGCAAGTAATCATTAGCGTTCTCTTGTTCCCCTGTGGTGGCATAAACCTGATCCACTTGAAATTGCTGCGAGTAATCATTTATATTCTCCACCTGCAAGGAATTGTTTGCTGTACTGCCAGATGCATTGTTTGGTTTGCTACTAATCAAGTTATCCTCTTTCCCTATCTGGTCAACCGGACTATCTCCAAATGCATTAAAGAAATCAGGGTATGATCCAAATGCATTCTGACCATTCTCCACAGAATCAGAAGCAAAAGCACTCCACTGAACCTCCTTAACACCAGCAGTACCTCCAGATCCATGATTCTCACTTGCTGTAGAATCCAATGGCTCCTTCAACCCAGTTGCCTCATTATCAGCTTCTTCATTTACACTATCAAATGCAAATGAATTCGAATTCACTAACGGACGAGTCTGCTCTACATGGGTGTTTGCAGACTCATCTTTGTAATCCTTATTAATTGAAGAACAAGCTTTGATATCTTCTTCCCCTATACCTACTGTCTCCAAATCCTCAAGTCCAGTTCCCACATCACTGATACTCAAATTGGCAAAAGCCTTAGCCTCATCTAAATCATTATCATCAACAGTATTACTCTCCTCCCTTGAAGATAATAATGGGGCGGGCTTAAAATCATCATCATCATCATTGACTAATTTATCAAAAAAATCTTCATCAGTATCCTCCACCAGAAAGGGAGGATTTGAAGCCATCTATAACACTGAAAACCTACCCTAAAGAGCTTTTCCTGATATCAAACAAAATCAATCCAACCCAAAAACCTCAGCAAAATTCAAGCTATTTACGTTATAGATCCGAAAAAAGGACTCCAACCAAATTTAGCAAAACCCCTGAATTGATATGCTGCAGACGAAAAAATGAAAGATCTATATATGCTTTCACCGATCCAGCAACAAACATTCAAATTGATTCGAAGCAAAATTTTACCTTTGAACACTCTTACCTCATCAAATCGAAGATGACCGATTACCCCGAAAACTACACATTACCCCAATTAAATTAAGGATCAAGACGACAATTTGAAGAAATCCCGATACGTATACAGAATCTATATGTATAGAGAGAGAAAGAAGAGAAGGGGAGAGTATGCTGGAGTGTAGACAAGCCCTCGATTTCGCATCGGATGACTCAACAACCCACCACAGCATGGATTTATCTTTGTTTTGCAAAATTACAAAAACAGTCCCTCAAGTTTTTGGAAAGTCATTTTGTTGCAAAAATAAGCCACCCAATTTCAAAATAAACCCCCCTACCCATTTCGAAGGGGTTCATTTTCATTCCGCTTGGAAAAAAAAAAACAAACTTAACGATCATACGTTTATATTATCATCGTCACATCAATTACTTTCATCTAACTTTAATCATATTAAATAACTTAAATGATCGTTTCGGCATATCGTGATCAGAGAAGAACAAGTTGAAGAAGAAAATGTTACTGATCATCTAAACTATTAGTAACGGTTGATATCAAGTAGTGATGATTATGAAGTATGAACAGATGTTCATTTTAGTTGTGTCACTGTTCCTCCAATTTCAGAGGAGTACTACCACTGCTATCTCCTCAGTATTAGACACTCACTATTGCAATCTCAAGATCATTTTAACTACCATACCAAATTAAGTTACAAACAGACTAAATTCGTGACCAAAGGGCCTTTGGCCTTGCGGTATGCGAGTCTTTGACCTCCTAGAATGTCAGGGATTCAACCCTCATCAAAGGTGAAGAAGGGGTGTAAGTTTATCTGTTATATTTGCCGTATATAAATATTATATACTTCAAAAAAGACTAAATTTTTTTGTCTTAGAGTATAGTTGTTTACTTTTGTTTCCATTAAGCCCGTGTATGAGTTAAAGTGTCTATCTTGATAAATTTGTATGTATCAGGAACAAGGTCTCAGATACGTTATATTTCAGTGTGCTTTTTGGTTTTTTAACAAGAAAAAAATGATCGATTCAAATCAGAAATATAAGTACGATGGTTAAAACCCGTTCATCTCAAAATAAGATCTTCTAATTTCTAAGACGACAAGAAAACACTGCCCACCTCAACGGCATGTGATAAACAAGAGCAAGTTTGTTTGGTGTGTATTCTCGATTAATCCAATCGTATAAACTTTCAACTTTATAAGTATACAAGGCATGATAACTGTCGACAAAAGCTTTTGGAAACTTGAAAACTTAACCGTGGGTCGATATCATTCTTTAACTTTCGAATTCAATGTTAACCACACGTAACTCGAGTAAATTTTATTATTTTGAACATGAAGATTGCTTTAGAAAAAAGCATCGTTACCGGTTCACGAAATTTTCTTCTGTTCTGATAATCAAGTAAAAAAATATGGCGTTAAGATTTCAAACCCGTGAAAACCAATCCAAAACTAATTAATAAGTTTTATTTTAAGCTGTAATTCACATTGTTTCACATGTTTTGTTCTCGTGTTTGTGTTTCATACATGAAACGTATATTAATGTTTTTTTTTCATATGCAAAATAATCCTGAGTGTTTATATATGAAACAACATTGTATGAACACCGCATGTTTCGTATATGTTATTCCATATATGAATTAACACATGAAAACATGTTCGCATGTTTAGCTTTCATTTGATTGGATATATATATATATATATATATATATATATACTTGGGATCACGTGAGACCAAAGGTTTTCTGTGAGACCCGTAAGACCAATTCTCAACCCTTGGATTAGATATACAATCTAAACATTCATAATCACAAAATTGCCACAAGACTTCTCAATAATCACAAAATTGTCACCGTGCAACTTTAGACCATTAGATCATTAACTTATAAAGTTGATCAATGAACATAAATTGGTCTTACG